CTTAAGGATGTGTGAACTCACTATAACTACCAAAATATACGAAATATCCATATATTGTTGTGTGTGTGCCATGGTAGAAGAATACAGGTAGTTGCATCGACACAGCTGATGGAACAATGAACTGTCAAGTCAACTTTGGAATTGAAATTTTTCAATGGAAAATTATTGAAATTTGTAAAACCTTTTGAAAATACATATCACAACAACTTCCAATTGGCGTCGTATAAGAAAAAATATTCAAATTTACATATTTTTGACAAAAAAAAAAAAAAAAATTGACAACAATGTTCCCAAGCGTTTATGCATCTACCCAAGGTAGATCTAACAGGTAACCGCATCGGCGAATTGCTACAACAAAGCAACTTTTGTGGTACCCTCAAATGTCAAAATTGGCATCTAAGGCGAAAAACATAGATTCGCCATGACATTTAAATTTTATTTTGTGTGCCTCTCGTCGTAAACGAACGTCGCAATAAGAGTTTTTATTGTAAAACAAATACGAGTAAAATAAGTATTAATTGTAGTATTGCGATATTTTTTAAACCAAGAAACTTACAATGACTATATTTTAATGGTTTAAACCGAAAGTTTTCCGGAACTGCAAAAGACAAGAGTCGAATTCTTGCACTACATCCCGTGATGTGTTTGGGAATCTTAGATGTTGAGGCTAACTTAATTCTTAAAGCTGCACTCCATTCTAACCTCCTTCCTTCATTTTCTTTTAATTTTTTACTGGTTTCACTCTAAACTTGCTTTTAAATTATTTGAAATATTATAAAAAGGTACGTTTAGGGAAGACAACATAAACAAATTTGTTGTTGCATTCATTTAGGGCGAATTCTTCATTACAACAATTTGTTTTGACATTTAATGGTGCCGTCAGCTGGGCTAATGCGATTACCTAGTACATCTACCTTGCACCTACCATTATTCTTCTACCGTGGTGACTGCGGACGACACCATATGCATTTGTACTTCGTATTGCATTGAACTTGATATTAAATGTTGCATTTCAACGCCATAACGTCTGATGATGTATTTAAACGTGTTTTTACATTGGGTTTCGCATAAGTTTATTTTCAATTTTTTCCAGTTGTATCATTATTATTTGTATATTTACTTGTCTACGCATTTCTTCGTGTTTTAATAAGCCTCCTCCCCAATATGAAAAGTGAGAGTGAAGTTCGTTTAATTAAAAGTTAGCTAAGATGCAATAATGTGAAATTACTAATTAAGCATAAAAAGTTTTTTTTTTTATTTCAACGGCAGAGCTTAAAGTTGTGATATTAGATAATGTTGAAGGTTAAATTCGATTTAAGGGAAACAATGATAAAAAGAAAATTAAAAAAAAAAAATAAATCATTTATGATGCAAACAAAATCGTAGGCGTGAATTTCTCGCAAAGGAGTTTCCGGTTCATAGACAAAAACATTGAAAGACAAAGCTTTGAAAATTGATTGAGATCTTTGAAATACACCCAGAATCATTGTTACAAAAAATGGGCCATGTCGGCCTGTAAGGATACCGCCAATTTCAAATATTTTTTTCTACGTTTGATTTCCATTTAAATTTGCTAAATTTGGGTATTTTGAGTTCTTATGGATAGACAGGGTATGTTTCACTTGATGCGGCCAAAACGTGCCTCATCGAAATAACGATCTTAGACCCTAGATCTCTTTGGACAAAATTCGTTTCAGAACATTTGGAGTCGATCTAGCGATGTCCGTACGTCCGTCCGTCTGTCTGGCTGCTTTTTCGCACCATAACCCTCGAAGGGAGGATCTGATTTGGACCAAAGTTGGTATATCGTAATAATATTATCAAACTTAAATCGAATTCAGAGATGGGCAATATCGGTCCACTCCTTCTAGTACATCCCCACAGAAGGTCGAAATTTAAAAAAAAAAAAAACAAGTAAAAAAGCTGTAAGTTTGGCTGGGCCGCACTTTGAATACGCTCCACCATTTGGAACGAATTTGGCAATATTGGAAAAAAATCCATTAAAACTTAAAAGTATCGAATGTAGCCATTATATTAGGGTCTATATGACGACATGGACCTGCATAGGCAACTTTTACCGTAAGCCATTACAATATTCAAATGCGAAACTTGAAAAAAAGTCGGTGGCTAATGTAGCTGATATCATCAAAATACTGAACTTAGGAAGGTACTATTATAAGGGGGCTATAACAAGATTTTAACCTGCATAGGCTTTAGCATTCAATACGAACTTCAAATGCCAAATTTGAAACAATTCCGATGAATAATGTCGCTAAAATCATCAAAATGTCGAATATCGGTAGGTGCCGTTACATGGGGGCTATACGAAGGCATGGGCCTACACAGACAATTTTCTGTCGTAGGCTGTAGTATTCGTTGCGAACTTCAATTACTAAATTTGAAACATTTCCGGTGAATAATATCGCGTAAATAACAAAAATACCGAAAATAAGGAGGTACCATTGTATGGGGGTTATATCAAAACGTGGACCTACATGGCACATTTTCAATACTAAATTTCCTGCAGACATAATATACATTTGAGTCAAATTTTATCAACCTACTTCATTTTGTTCGGAAGCTAAAGTGATTTCCACAGACGGACGGACATCGACATAGAATTTTATGCTGATCAAGAATATATATACTTTGTGGGGTCTAAAATGTATACAAACGGAATGACAAACATAATATATCCTCCATACTATGGTGGAGGGTATAAAAAAGGAATTTGCTGCACAGAACGAAGAAGGATAATTCGATTTTGCCCCATCTTTGCAAATTATAATATTTGCATCAGTGATCGGACCATTCCTTCTGGTACCTCCTCCACAAGGGGACAACGTTTGGAATAACCAAACCGATTATAAAATCCAAAATAAGCATCCGGTTGTCTTCATACTTCACACATCCCATTTTTTCTACTAACACAAGATCTGCTGTGAAGATGGATATATCGGTCCACTCGTTCTGGTACCTCCCCCCAAAAGATCCAAGAAAAAAATGTCACTGCACCGAAACAAAAAGGATAGACCGATTTTGACCCAGTTTTGCAAAACCTAATATTTGCATTAGTGCTAGGTCAGGTGCGAAAATGGACAAAGTCAATCCACTACATCAAGTACCTCCCCCACAAAGGATCAAAAACTTGAATAATTATAACTCTAATAACATATGATTTAAGAGTCCGATTGTCTCCAAACTACACACATCACAATATTTTTATTAGCCCAACGTCTGGTGTGAAGATGGAATATATCGGCCCACTCCTTCTGGTACCTCCCCCACAAAGGAACAAAATTTTGAATTTCCGTTAAGCTCATAAAACGTGATATTAACATTCGATTCAATTCAGAGTTGGTACATCTCAATATTTCCATAAACACTAGATCTGTTATAAAGATGGTATAGATCGGATCATTCCTTCTGGTACCTCCCCCACAAGAGGCCAACGTTTGGAATAACCAAACCGATTATAAAATCCGAAATAAACACCCGGTTCTCGTCAAATAACACAGATCAAAATATTTTTATTAGAGTAAAGTCTGGTGTGAAGATCGGCGTACTCCTTCTCGTAACTCCCCCACAAGGGGTCAAGATTGAGTATCCATGAAGCTCAGAAAACGCGAAAATAACGTCCCATTCCATTTAGACTTGGTACATTTCAATATTTCCATTAACACATGATCTATTATAAAGATGGTAGAGATAGGACTATTTCTTCTGGTACCTCCCCCAAAAAGGGTCAACATTTCCCATCCCATTATTTCTTCTAACACAGGATCTGCTGTAAAGATGGGATATATCGGTGCACTCCTTCTGGTACCTCCCCCACAAAAGGGTCAACATTTTGAACATCCATGAAACTCATAAATCACGAAATTTAACATTCGATTCAATTCAGAGTTGGTACTTCATCAACACAAGATCTGTCATAAAGATGGTGGAGATCGGACCATTTCTATTGGTACCACCCCAACATAGGATTCAAGATTTTGAAAAACAACCGCTCAAAGAAAACGAAATAAGCATCCATCTCTCTTCAAATTTCACACATACAAACATTTTTACTAACACAGGATCAGTTGTGAAGATGACATATATCTGCGAATCACTTCTGGTATTACACCCACAAAGGCTCACAATTTTCAGTACTTTTATCTGCCATAACTTGCGAATAAACTCTGCGATTTTTTGCAACTTGCTATATCTAAATATTTCTCTCAACCAGAAACCTGAGGTAAATTTAAATAAATTTAATTTAATTTAAATTTAAAATTAAAAAAAAATTTAAAATTTAAATTTAATTTATTTTAATTTAAATTTATGATGTCGCATAAAATTAGATATAAATATTCGATTTTGTTGTAAAATATTTTTATCTGTATTAGATGAAGTATGAGAATGGAATACTTCGGTCGACTATATTATCAGATAGTCACATTTCAATAAATTGACGAAACATTAAGAAAAAAAAATAATGAAATTATTTTATTCATTTAGAAAAAAATCTGCCAAAATGTCTATCGAAATAAATCAATATTGCTTCGTCAATGTAAGGGCATCTCACACATTTCCTCAATGTAATATATTTTATTAATAGCCATTACATATTGCAACATTCTCCGAATCTTAAAACTTTATTAAATGTCTACCCTAAACAATTTACCGCAGATGAGCTTTTCAACACATTTCATGGTTAATTTGGTAATTGTCGTTTGGTTTCTTCGTTTTTCGTTGCTATCATAACTGAAATTATGAAACTTGGAAATTTCTTTGCCGATGCGACATGACGTGGTGTAATAAATGACATTGAAATGTTAATAAATCAATTAAAAACTTATGTCGGGAATTTCTCCCTCATAATTTTGGGATGTGCTGTTGTCGTAGTCGGTAACTGATATTTTGCTTTGTGAAATATTTTCAACTCTATGTTTCTTTCGGCTTCCTTCCTTGTGGATTTGGATTTTAAGAAGACATTTCAATTTTAGTAGTGTGCTTATGGGGATGTTGGGAATTCACCACGATTTATCACGGCAAATTCTATTGGGGATGTTGATTTGGGTAAATTCACCACGGTGAATTTTAATGGGGATGTTGTCTTGGGAATTGTACCACGGCAAATTCTATTGGGGATGTTGATTTGGGTAAATTCACCACGGTGAATTTTAATGGGGATGTTGTCTTGGGAATTGTACCACGGCAAATTCTATTGGGGATGTTGATTAGGGTAAATTCTCCACGGTGAAATATATTGGGGATGTTGTCTTTTGAAATGTACCACGGTGAAATATATTGGGGATGTTGTCTTTTGAAATGTACCACGGTGAAATATATTGGGGATGTTGTCTTTTGAAATGTACCACGGTGAATTATATTGGGGATGTTGTCGTTTGAATTGTACCACGGCAAATTATATTGGGGATGTTGTCTTTTGAATTGTACCACGTCAAATTTTATTGGGGCTGTTGGCGTTGCTAGTTTTAATATGAACTACTAGATGGCGCTAAGTTTAGCGCAGACACGATCCAAAACTGTGTATGGGATGGTGACATTTCAAGTTTTAATATTCACCATTAGCAGAGACACCCTCCGAAAAAAAAAAAAATGTATTATGATCATATCGAGTGGGGCTAAAGAGATTCACCATGTGAGAAGTGAATATAGCAGAAACACATCTGAAAGAGGTAAGTATCGAAGAAAATCATTTTATCTAGATGGCTCTCAGAATGCTTTTATATAGTCAACATGCTGATTACTGCAGTCAAATGTGCTTATTAATTTATTTGAAAACATATATTTCAAGAAATCGACTTCAATAAATGTGATATATTATAGAAGAGTTTCAATTGACAAATATGCTGCAATTATTGATATTTCAGGGGTTTTAATTTCAGCATAGATGAAAATATAAATGAAAATATAGACAAAGAAATGACATCGAAAAATTCCGGAATAATCAAGTGAAATTCTTGAAAAACGATAACGAAGTCGAGTGGGTTGAACACGAAAATCAGCATGTTGGCTATGCAAAACATGATGAGATAAAAAGACAAAACTAACTTTTCGTTGTACTTGTTTTAATTTGTCTATAATTTTAGCGACTCAAAAATGTTCAGTTATTCCCATCGAAACGATATAGGCGACATCTAACGGTGAGTTCCATCCATACTATCCATAAATTATGTTGTAGCATAGACACACTCCAAAACTATTGAAATATGATCATATCGAATGGGGCTAGAGAGATCCACCATATGAGAAGTGAATATAGCAGAGACAAATTTGGTTAGTATCATAGTCAACAAGAAGATGTGTGTTCTATTATTTTGTCCAGATGGCTCTCCAGTCATTTCCCTCGAAACGATATAGGCGACATCTAACCACCAATTAATGTTGTAGCATATACACACTAAAAAAATGCTGCTGTAGCCAATCAAAGCAAATTCTTCTTGTGTGGACAGGCATTTTGATACATTATATCGATCGCTTTTTGATAGTTTTGTCGATGAAGAATTTGTTTACATTATGTAGCAATTTGAGAGAATTGAAACTGAAAGAGTTTCATGACAAACCCTGCATCAATTCGGTATTGAAGATTGAAGGGATTTGAAGAAGGAAACACCATTGTTTACATTAACTAACAATTGGATTTCTGTGAAATGGATATGAGAATTTGGGGGGAAGCGTTGTTGCAGAGTTTCATGACAAATTCTGCTTCAATCACAGAATTTCTATTTGTTTACAAAATGTAGTCAATAATGTATTGATTGGATTGGAAGAAATTTCAGTACTCAACAAGTCACAGATTAATAAGCATCGTTTCTTAATATTTTTAAAAAAGTTTTTATAATGTCTCAAAAAATTTGTTGGTCATGCAGCCTTTATTACAAGGAAAAAAGTGAATTTGTGAAACATATGAAAAAGCATTGTATGTTTTGTGATGTTTTATGTGAAAGTGTAAACGATTTAGAATTGCACTTAGAGAACCATCATGGAGATGAGCATGTAATGAAACAAAATCGTGATCAACAACAAGAAAAACTAAAGCAGCAGCATGAAAATAAATCAGCTGTGAAGGTGGAAAAGTTTTGTGGTGATTGTGATAAAATAGTGAATAATATACGATCACACGTTCGTAGCGAAGAACATCGATCCACCGTGAGAAAAAATCTGGATTCTGACATAAAAATTGTTAAAAGTGCATTTAACAAAAATATACTCAGCTATGAGATACAAAACAATAAAGACATTTTGTACCCGATCGATTTTCTTAATGCTTCAAAAGAATTAATAATTAAAACCTTGAAAAATGAGTTAAACGGTAAAACGCTCATAAAATTTAATATGGAACTCCAAGGACTGTATGTGAAACCAAACAATGAAAAAGATGGACCTTCAACTTCCAAAGAGTTAACTATTGAAAATATATTTAATCATATTTCAAAAACAACGCTATTAACCCTGGGAGATGATTTGGAAGAGGTCGTTTTCAACCACTGTGTGGAAATTATAGCTAAATCAGAAGAGTTCCAAGAAAGAGGCTCTAATTGGGCCCTGGAGAAACTTTTAAAACTTGACATAAATGTGTTGAGAGCCAACTTAACACGTGGCTCACATTATATTCCAACTCCGAAATCATTAAGCAACAAGAAGGGTGCGTGCCTTAACATCAAAAACTATGATGACTTTTGTTTTAAGTGGTGTATGGTTGTTGCATTGGGGGAAACTGCATATGGAGATCCGAGTATAACCTCTTCATATAACGTAGACATACACCAAGATGTCATTATTCTGCAGTCTGGAATATCGCTAAATTTCGAACAATTAAATTTCCCATTGGGTCTTAAATATATAAAAAAATTTGAAATGAACAACCCAGAGATTAGCGTAAATGTTTTCGGTTATGAAAACAAGTCGGTCGTTGGTCCATATTACTTAACAAAGGAGACGAAAAGCAATCACATTAATTTAATATTGCTGCACAACGAAGAAAATTTCCATTACATTTTGGTTATGGATATGTCTTGGTAATTATAAACAAAACTTATCAATCAAAACCATATCATAATAATCATGTATTTGTTCTTTTTTTTTTTTTCAGTCTTATGCGGTCTCAATTCACAAGTCATAAGGAGAAAGGTTACTTTTGTTTTGGATGCCTGCAATGTTTCCACGATGAAAATAAATGTATGACTCACAAAAAGCAGTGTGGAAAAGTAGTCTGTGCCCTGCCGAACAAAAAAGAAGCCGTACTAAAGTTCGTCAATCACAAGAAAAAGGATAAGGTGCCTTTCGTTATTTATGCTGACTCCGAAAGTGTACTGGAAGACGTGCAGGAAGATGAGAACAATGGGGCGAGTAAAAAAACGGAAAAGGTAAAGAAGCATATTCCATGTGCTTTTAGTTATTTTATTAAATGTAGTTTTAATGAAAATTTAAATAAGTTATTTATATATAGTGGTCCCGACGCAGCAAATGTTTTTCTGAAAGAACTAATTCAGGATTGTAAATTTTTGTATGATAGTTACCTAACCAAAACGAAACCTATGAATACTCTAACACCCGAAGAAGAGACAGCCTTTCTTAGGGATATCAATTGTCGTATATGTGGCGACATTTTAGGTAACGATAGGGTGAAAGATCATTGTCACTTAACGGGGCAATATCGAGGTGCGGTACATAACCATTGCAATCTGCAATATCATCTACCTAAATTTATTCCAATATATTTCCACAATTTTTCTTCGTACGACTGTCACCTCTTCTTTAAAGAGTTAGTTGAATTTGGAGGTGAAATAAGAGTCATACCTCAAAACAAAGAAAAATATATTTCAATGTCTTATTTCATTAATATGGATAACGAGTCAACCGACTCTAGTTCTTTAAAAAGTACAGTTGTTGTAGGAGAAGAAGAAGATTCGAGTGAGGAAGATGATGAGGAATTCCAGCAAGAAGAGGAAAGTGAGGGCAAAAAAGAGAAGAAAAAGAAAATGAATAGATTAGAGCATCGTTTCTTAGATAGTTTTCGATTTATGCCTACTAGTTTGGATAAATTAGCAAGGAATTTATCTCGAGATTCTTTTGTTGCTGTCAGATCTCATTTTCCTGATGATGAAGCATTCGAACTTATGACTAGGAAAGGAGTATTTCCCTACGAATATATTTCATCATTTGAAAAATTGAAGGAGAAACAACTTCCCCCTATAGACCAATTTTATAATAAGTTGACAGATACTGAATGCTCGTCAGACGATTATAGGCATGCAACAAATGTTTGGTCACATTTTCGATGTCAAACTATGCAAGACTACATGGATTTGTATTTAAAAGCTGATGTCTTGCTTTTAGCAGACGTATTTGAAAATTTCAGGAGCTTATGTATGCGAATTCACGAACTGGACCCTTGTCAATATCTCACAGCACCATCTCTATCTTGGGATGCAATGCTACTATGTACTAAAGTCGAACTTGAGCTACTCAGAGATATAGACATGTACAATTTCTGCAAAAATGGTATTCGGGGAGGGCTTACCCAGTGCTCAAACAGACACTCGGTAGCAAATAATGAAGATGCTCCCAATTATAATAGTGCCAAACCAGAGGTAAATATCTATTATTTGGATGTAAATAATTTATATGGTACAGTTATGACTGAGTGTCTCCCTGAAAAAGATTTTAGATGGGTGGAGGGTTATGAAATGGAGAAATTCAATGATCCAGCTGTAATATTATCTATTCCTGACAACGCTCCTACTGGTTTTATTTTAGAGGTTGATATTGAATATCCACCGCACCTTCACGACAAACATAACGATTTACCTTTTTTGGCGGAGAAAAAGTGTGTTGAGGGCTCAAAAACTGAAAAACTGATTGCAGATTTTACTGACAAAACATCATACACCATACACTACAAATTACTTAAGCAATCTCTGAAACATGGACTAATTCTTAAGAAAGTCCATAGAGTTTTGGCTTTCACACAAAGCGCTTGGTTAGCTCCTTACATACTGAAGAATAATGAACATAGGGAAAAGGCTGAAAATGCCTTTGAAAAAGATTTTTTTAAATTATTGAATAACTCTTCATTCGGTAAGACAATGGAGAATATCGACAAAAGAAAAACTGTGAAAATTGTGACAATGTGGGTAGATGAGGCAAACCAAAGAAGAAGGAATGTTGCTAGTAAATTAATCTCGAAGCCAAATTTTCACAGCCTTTCGATATTCTCCGAAAATATGGTTGCTATTCAAATTAGGAATGTCAGAGTAAAATATGATAGACCATTGTACTTAGGGTTCTGCATATTAGATTTATCAAAGTGGGTGATGTATGATTTTCTGTATGATTTTCTAAAAGTGAAATTTGGTGAGGATTTTATTCTAAATTATATGGATACAGATTCGTTCATATTAACATTTTACGGACGGAATTTGTATTCCGAATTATCTTTAGATGAAATATTGGCTAGATTTGACACCTCAGGGTTTTCAAAAGAAAATAAATATAAACTTCCTCTAATTAATAAGAAAAAACTTGGCATGATGAAAGATGAGAATGACGGAAAAACAATGGTTGAATTTGTAGGCCTTCGTCCTAAAATGTATGCCATCAATGTAGTTGATAGCGAAGAAGTAAAAAAATCTAAGGGAGTTAAAAAGTCGGTCCTAAAAAAGTATACTATAGATAAATATCGAGAATGTCTTTATAACAAAAAGGTTTTTTACGGTACCATGTTTTCGTTTAGGTCAAGACAGCATACAATATATACAGACAAAATTACTAAAATATCGCTAAGCCATCAAGATGATAAACGATTTATTCTAGAGGATGGTATTCACACCTATGCTTGGGGCCACTATAGATTAAATAACCTTCATGAAACAAATGTAAATAACTCAAATGAATCTGTCTCAATGGACTTGGATTAAAATATAAATTTAATTATGATTTAAGTTTCAATATATAGATAAAAGAGCATAGTAATAATATTAATTTAATTGTCTTTACTCACTATAAATGTCATCATATTAATATTTTCTCGCCACACAAAATGTTTAATTTTTAAGTAAATATAAGTGTATTATATTTTAACTAGTCTTTAACTATTCTTATTATAAAATAAAACAAAATATTTTTGTTTATAAATTTATGTAAATTGCGTTTTATTGAAATATTCTTGCAAAGGTGAGTATAAAATAGATTATACTACTTTTCGTACAATTCCTGTTAATGGAACGTACTCGACCAGACGATCATGTATAATTAAACAGTACGCAGAAGTGTTTTGTGGAATTGGTTTATTGGTTTCAAATTGGATTTTTAAATCGATTGGTCCATTCTTAACAGCTTCGTTTTGATTGCTAATGTCAATAACGGCGATGGGCTTGTCTTTAAAACTTGCATATGTAAGAAGTGGTTGTGGCTCCCTCATGTAATATGATTGTTGAAACTTTGTATACATGTCATATAGTACTGCATAGCCATTTTCTTCGAACTTTACATTCAAATCATCGTAAGGATAGGTTTCAGAGTTCAAGTGAACTTTGATGTTTTTAAGTTCGCAATGTTCCAGCTTGTTGTCTTTTTCAAATATCAAAGCAACATATCGTGGTCTTTCATGATTGACAGACAATTTAACACTCCAACTGTGTTGTCTTCCACCAGCAAAAGTTGGATTAAAGTAGCAGTCCCAGCTGCGGAATGCTAAAGGCAACGCTTTTCCATCCTTAATAGTTTTCAAGAAGCTGATTTTTCTATAGTCTGATAATTGAATGTGTTGTACTTTCCATACAACATTTGTTATGGTGAGTTTAATTTCCTCCGTATCCATGGTTGAATAACACACATTTTTATCGTTGGCACTACGCAAAAGAATCAAGTCATGCTTGCTGTTGCAAATTACTTTATCAAAGTCCTCTGCGAACCCTAGTAGACGGTTTAAGGGTACACAAAAATTAAAGTATCCTACTGATAAATCATTATCAGCTTTCCATCCCGCTTTGCTCATAACCTTACTTTCGGATTCGCTTAGAGAAATCCAATTTTTAATTTCTGTAGTTATTCCTAGATAACGAGTACGATCAATTTCAACACCATTTAGTTCATAGCGAATTTCATCAAACATGTATCCCACACAATTATTTCTCAGTCTTGCATTTTGCGATACTTCTCCCTTGCTATTTTTCAAATTTCCTTCAATGAATAGATAACTCTCCGATGGAAGTATGTAAAGATCCTGATTTTGTATACTTATCCGAATTTCATCATTATTTTTAAATGATTGAATATATGGAACATAGCTGTGGTAGTCTCTCTTTACAATATTCTCATCCGAGAATGGACGCTCATTAATGTTAAGTATTTCAGACATTTGGTTTGACTTTAAGCTTAATAAGTTTTAAAAACTCTTTATTTTCCTTTGAAATTGTAGGTCTTGTCGGTTTGACAACTTTGTGTTGAATGTGTCTTGGTATTTGTTTATGATTGTATTTATTGTAGATAATCATGATTGCATTGGTCTTATATGAATACGTAGCGTGATTTCTTCCTCTCTAAAATTTATAAAGCGACCTTCTTGATCTACTATCTTTATCTCCAGACGACCGATTTCTTTGACGTTCACTGGTAAATAAATGAGATTCATTGGTCTCTCTACCAATTTATATCCCGGAGGAACATTAAGAGCAAATTCATGTAGAATATGCGTTGGCGACCCATTCATGAATGATCCAGTTACAATATTGCAGTGTATTTGTATGGCATTAACCTTTAAAATGTCGACTTGAAGGTTTGAAGTATGTTTTTTCCCAGATTCTAAGATTTTTTCGGTAAAACCAAAAAGCTTGCCTATAGATTTTTCTTTATCAAAGTAAATAGGATCATGAGAAGACACGATTTCTACTTTTAGCGTATTATTATTCGCCTTAATTTCAATGGATCTATTCTCGTGGATAGTTTTATATTCCGTTTCCAAGTAATTCGCAATATCTTGCAATTCATAGGATCCTATAGGTATTTTTATAATATTGTCTCCAATGTGAAAGAGATTGTTATCATTATCCACATTGGGTATTGAATTGTATGATTGGAAATCTATTAGGCAACACTCATAACTACTATTTCCCAATTCAATTGGGGGTAAATATGTTGAATGTAGAATTGGAGATTTACCGGACACAGTAAACGTTCTTGACATTGCAAAATTCTTTGTCGTAATAATTGAAACACAAAATATGCATACGTATATATGGGTTTTTATTTATTTAAATATATGCTTGTATATTGTATATCTACATATTAAGATTATATGATATGATTCTTATCTATCCATGAATTATGTTTGTCTGAGAATCCCAGCCACTTAACCAAGACTTTATTACCTTTTGTTTTTAAAATTTTCTCAACTAAATACGTGTTGGGATATTTTGTGGGTAAAAGTTCTTCTTTGTAGAAACATCCTTGGATGGGATTTCCTTCATAGTCTTCTAATAAATAAGTAGCGGGGTTTGTTATTCTTATTGTTCTTATCTTGAATATTTCCGTAGTCCAATTTGGCGTGTATCCCTTTTCAAATTGATGTTTATATTTGCTAATGCGTACATGATCACCCACACGAAAGTTTTGTCTCCTAAAAATTTTTAAGTGGTTATAAGCAGATTGCAACAATGCCTTCTCATTCGATGAATTTACTTGAATAGGGGCCATTTTTATTGTTCGATGAGGTGTTTTATTGTATTGTTTAACCAATTCTCTATAAACATCAATCCATAGATAATTCCCATTATAACTGAACTCCTTCCACATTAGCGACTTCAAAGTTCTATTAAAACGCTCAACAATTGAGGCCTTCAATACACTATATGTGGAGTAGTGGTTTATGGAATATTTCTGCATTAGTTTTTTAAAATCTGTGTTGAAAAATTCTTTTCCATCATCGGTTTGCAAATTTTTTGGAATTCTTCCTCTTTGTAAGATTTTTTCAAAAGCCATAGAAACATCCGTTGCCGTTTTTGTTTTAAGGGCTTCACACCATGCGAATTTCGAAAATGTATCGATGACAGTTAACAAAAATCGGAACCCCTTGTTTGCTTTTGAGTAACTGCCCATTTCAACTAAATCTGCTTGCCAGAGATCATCAATACCCTTTGTAATAACCCTTCGTCTTGGAAAGTTTTTTCGTGCTTGATGATGAAGTTCATTTACCAAACCCCGCTTTTCCATTGTTTTATTCGGTATGATATATTAAAGCTGGTGAGTTGAATGGAGCTTGCGATAAGGCTTTAAATATTTCGTTTTGTGAACGTTTGAGTTGTGATATTTCTTCTCTTAGGAAGGTGCACTCTTGAATGAAATTTTTCTTTAAAATTTCTTGAATGTGCTTGATTTGCGTATGTACGTATGCTTGGTTGACCGCATCCGCTCCTTCTGCTGGAGATGCAACATTCCTAATCTTTTTATTTTGCACGTTAAGGTTGTTATCTTCATCAATATTGACTCCCAATAATCTCGAAACATTTTCTCTCACTGCTATTGATTGATTTTTTTGATTGTAATGATGTCCAAACTTGTCAACAGTCATATGTTGTATGCTCCTTGAGAGTATTATTTAATATATTATATTTCCTTCTCGCAGTTCCTCGATAATAGAAACAATTTCATTAGTATGGTTATTGTTTCCGGCTTGTTGTGATGCCAACAACAGCTTTAATCGTTCTATCAATTCGTTGGGATCGTCCCAGTATATATAGTTGGGTTTACCAGGATTTATTGTCAGTAAGCCTTTGCCGCTGTGAGTATCCTCTATTATATTTTTTATTATTTTCTTATATTTTTGTCCCCTGTTGGACTTTGTTCGTCCATTAGATTCATAGTTTATTTTATGCGCATTTGTGTCTAATAATATTGTTTTGTAAATATCGAGTTCTGTATGATCATAGTTCTTGGGGTCTTGATAAAACAACAGTTCAAACAAACCGGGTGTTAATGCCCAATTTTTATTTCCAATCATAATCTTTTCATTGCTTATTTTGAGTGGTTGGTCCCCAAATCTCCATTCTCCATTGTTATCTTTGTGTGGACCATAGACTACATCTAGTTTTTTAATTTTCTTCAAGAATGATAGATTCATAGGTTCCTCATTGTTGGAATAAAATTTGTCGTCGTCTTGTGATGTATTAAAGGAATCGAAATTTTGTGTGTAATCTACTTTATGCTTTAACCCCTCCAATGCATTGGAATCTAACTTAACATCTGGTTTATAATTCTTAAGGGGTGTACTTGTAATAATAGAATCTCTGTACATTTCCATTTTCTCTTTCTTAGGCATAATCATTTTGGAAGTATTTTCAGTTGAAAGCTTTAGTAGTTTGTTTATTGGCTCCGTTATTGGTTTGAAAGTATTTTTCAATTCTGTAGTTTTAGCTTCTTCACCCATTTTAATGCTTTGAAATTTCTTTTTCAAGACATTTCTGGACTTAACAAGCCGTTTCAGCATTTCCTCCTCCATGGCTGTAGGTGCACTAATATAAATTAACATTTGCAAATACATTAAATAATATTAAGGTTGAATAAATATATGAAAGCCTTTTCTGTATCTTCCAGAGTGAATTTCGTCATCCTTGGAAATCGTTAGAAATCCATACTTTTCCTTCCAGCATTCATGACAAATTTTTTTGAAATCTTCAAAACTAATGTCACATCCGACGTGATCATTAAATATATGTCTTAAATTCAGATCATCTTGTTTAAACACGATTATAAAATTCGCATTATCACGCAATAAATGTTTTGGTATACGTGTGTATGTTTGACACAAATAAAACGAATCAACATTCTTATGTCGCCCCATACTGAAGTAATTTTTAATGTTGTTTTGTTTATCGCATGCAACATCATCAAAAATCATGATTGAGTTTGGCTTTATTTCGTCCGTTTGTATAACATCGTCATTGTTATTAAATGTATACAATCTCATCCCCTTTATAGTGGATATCAGTTTCTTTAGGTACTCATATTTTGTCTGATACAGCGATTTTGA